GCAATTGCATATGCCCAACTACAAGCAGTGACCACAAATAACAGGCTAATGAGTTAGACTAAACAAGAGGAAAGAAGGACTAGATCCAAAGCAATGGCAGGGAGAATGGAGACAGAGGTAACAATTACCAGATGCAGTGATTCAATGAGGTAGAGGGGAAGAGAGAGTATGTAATCAAAGACGGCTATACGTTTCCAAGTCTGAAAGAAGGAAGAAAGATGGTGAGAAACAGGAAGGTCAGAAAAAGGAACAGCTCTGGTGATGAAGGAAAGAATGTGAATATGAACATAGTCTACATATCACCATTCTACCAAGCACAAGGTTGACTGTTAACAAATACCAAAATCTCCTTGTTGAGCAAAGTGAAGACATGCCAGAATATGTAGAAGATGGTAAGAAAAAAAACCTAAACCTTACTTTCTTCTTTGAGGTTCAGACATAAGAGTCTCAACAGCTGATCTCAGTTTCCAATAACTGCGGAAGGACACAAGTGATTGCTAAGGGGTCCAAGGATGCCAGGGCTAGATGTTAAACCGACTTCCCAGATAAGCGCAAGAGTGAAGAGCCATCTGGATCTCCCAAGATAGGGTTTGCTCCTGTGCTCTAATAATGGAGAAGCATTTAAGTGAGTATTAGTTCATCCTGAAAAGCTTCTCTTTTGCTCTCAGTGGCCAGGGCTGGTCTCAGACCCGCCAGTGAGATATGTAAGAGGAAATCAGTTTTGGTTTTTGTCCCAACTTCTAATTCAATACCTTGGCAGCATTTGAAATGGATAAGAGCTGTAAGCTCGTATCTGCCTCAGGTGACAACTAAGATAAGAAGCACACAATGTAAAAAATGATGAGTGCTTACTCCAAAAGCAACTTTAAAGGGAGCTTTTTAAAGGTAGTTAGTTACTTGAAGTGACACTAAGCCTGAAAATGCCTTGCTAAGAATACTGAGAGATTAAATTATTGGAACCTTGTTCACAAACCTGTGTTTCAGCTGATACTTTGGCAGTGTTTTTGAAAAAATAGTTCCGTGTTAGGTAACAGAATAAACTGCTAATCAAATTCATCAGACCAGGATGAGAAGAAATACGGGAAAATCATTTTTGCAGGTAGTAAACAATATTCATTTCCGGTTAATAGTTGACTGAGGCCAAGATGGGCCGTAGTGACTACTAGAGCTGCTGGTTGCTTTTAATGAAATGCCCAAGTGTCATGAATCAATAATTGTTTACTATACAACTCCCATGTTTCAAGTACCTACACTGCACTGGCCGACACACAAAAGCATGAGATACAGCACCTGCCCTAAAGGAGAGTTTTTATGTAGTTAAAACCAAAAAAATACAAACAATGCAGCACCAAAGACAACATAATGCTAAATCTTCAACTGTGAGGCACAGACGACGACGACTCTGAAATGTGAAGACCTGGAGAGATCTTTCATGCTTACTAGAACTGTTTGATCTGGGAGAGGACACTGCATTCAGACCCTGCTGGTCTTGGACAGGCACACATGAAAAGGCCTAGTGAAAGGTCAGAGGAATCAATGAAGGCACAGAAGTCGGACCTGACACAGCATAAGCCAAAAGAAAAAGACAAGTTGATTGGACCATAGGTTCATCATGAGAAAAGATGAGAATTAGGCTGGATACGAGGACTATTTAACACCACTTTGTATATCTTCATTATTTAATATATGTATCCAAAATTTACTGAACTGGTGTGGTAGATATAAGAAGCCCTAGAGAAGATGATTAAGATTATAAATCAAAGTTGTTTATTTAGGGAGAGAATATATTGCATAAATAGACTATGAGAAGAATCCTCTCTTATGACTTACCTAAAATGTGTTTTCTTAGAAAGAATGACCCAGATATGGTGTTAGGTTGAGTTCCAAATAGTTACCATATTTCTGTATCATCAACAAACTGAATATTTTGGCCAACTTTCTTGATGCTTTATCCACAATATTTCAGTGTCTGAATGTCTGACATGAAATAAGTAAAACTTTCAGAGGAAAGACCAGCTACAATTTGTTGAGCAATTCCTATAAGCACTTTGCTAATAACTGTGATGCTAAATTTATTGAGTGCTGAGCAATTTGCTAAATATTTTACATATTTCTAACTTAATTCTTACTACAATCCTATGTTGGTAAAACTAATTCAATTTTATAGTTGAGAAACCCAAATTTATAATAGAGAAGTAACATGCCCAATGTCTAGAGGACAGCAAATGGCAGATGCAGGATTCAAACCCAATCCTGCTTGATTCCAAACTCCAATGACTAAACTTCTTACCTAAATTTATCTTTTACCCCAAAGGCATCATTGAGGGGGTAATAAATCACTATTTAGAAGAAATGGATGAGTCTTTCAGAGAAAATAATATTAGTGTCAGAGCTTCATTGTGGGGTCAGTAGATCTTTTTGGAAACCTGACCGTGTGAATATCCTATACTTTAATTTTAATGACATTGCCTATCAAAGATCGAACTACCTTATGGTGAAGATCAAGTCCCTATACACTCAGTATCTGTGTGATTTGGACAAGTTGCTAAAGCTCTTCAAGTACCATTTCTTCATCTGCAAAATGTGAATAATATCAATAATCATTGTACAGGATTGTTCAAAAAATGAAATGGTATTACACAAAGTACTTAGCTCAGGGTTTTTACCTGAAAAGTAATGAATTAATGTTTGTAATCTTTATTATGAGTCAAGTAAAATTAGACCTACTTTACAATAGAAATCAAGGTAATAGTTCAATAAAAGGCCCTTCCTCCAATTCTCTCACCACCAAATTCCTACATTTCCTTTAAGATTTAACCCCAAAATCATCTATTCCAAAGTCTCTTCTACCAATACAACTCCCAGGCCAAGTGGGTCAAATGTTCCTGTAATCTTGTGTAAGCGAGTGTGCGTGTGTGTTTTTTCAGTCATTTCATTTAGCATTTTGTACAATTTTTATGTAGTGTCCTGCCTTCCTCATTAGGGAAAACAAAAAACAAACAAACAAACAAAAAAACCTGAGGGCAAAGATTCATGTATTTATCTCCAGAGGCCCAGTGCACAAATTCATGCCAATTGGGAAGAGGAAATGGCAGGAGGTTGGCTGGCAGGCCCACCTTGTCCGGGACCTGATCAGAGCAGGGCTGACTGGGGGGAGGAACCATGGGCGCTGGCTGGCAGGCCCCACCCTTGAATAGGGTAGGGGGTGCCAGGGACTAGCAGCCTGGGGGAAGGGCCATGAGTGGTTGGCCAGCCATCCCTTCCCCTGATCAGAGTAGGGAGACAATCTGGAGCAGAGCTGGCTGGGTGGTGGTGGTCCTTCGGGGGTGGGACTGGTGGGGGGAGGGGTTGCAGGTGGTTGGTTGGCTGGCCCTGCCCCTGATGAGGGTGGTGGGGGCCTATCTGTGGCGGGGCCAGCTGGGGGAGGGGCTGCAGGAGGTTGGCTGGTCAGCTCCATCCCCTATTGGAGTAGGGGGGTGATCAGGGGCCAGCTGGGGGAGGAGCTATAGGAGGTTGGCTGGCCGGCCCTACCTCCTATGGGGATAGGGGAGACAACCAGGGATGAAGCCAAGGGGAGGAGGGAGAAGAAGAGGGGCTGCAGGCCAATTGGGGTTGGGCAGCCAATCAGGAGTGGGACTGGCTGGAGGAAAGGGCCATAGGGGGCGGGGCTGGCCTGGCCACCCAGCCTTTGATCGGGGTGGGAGAGGCCAATCAGGGGCAGAGTAGATGGGGGGAGGGGCCACAGGAAGTTGGCTGGCCAGGCCCACCCTCCCAACTGGGCGGTTCTCTGACTACAGTGGGGGTTTCTGATCCTTATGGAGTTCTGGTTGTTATGGCATCCGGTTGCTCGGTTTTTATATATATATAGATACCCAGTGCATTTATATCCTTAGTGGAAATAAAGATTACTAATAGTTTCTAAAAATGTTAAATTTACTCTATTGAAACCCATGGAATAATGTAGCACACCAAACACCATTTTAGGATGAACTAAAATGTCCCCCATGAAGTCAAAGGAGAAAGACATCTTTCTAGGAAAGTGACATTTACTCACACTAAAATAGTAAAAAGCTTAAATCAATAGGCTTAAGATAATAATAAACAGTTAAGACTGAATGATGTCACCATGGACAGGTTTCTTGACAACTAAAATTTATAGCACACATAATCAAACCTGGAAATCCTAGGGGAAAGTCCATGCAGTTTTCGGTGCACCGTTCTTTTCTGTTTGGATTTTAGGAATATAAACCATGTCTCTTTTTCAAAGTTTTTTATTTTAAAAATAATGATTCTATCGTATTATTGTTTTACTGCCTGTAACACCTACTGCCTTTCTAGCATGTAACAAGAATCTGGGTGTGCTTTTTTTTATTTTTAGACCATTAACTTAATAGTAAGTTCTTCCTCTTACCTATCACTTGAATGCTTTCAAACCACCCTCAGAGATCTCATCTTCAGTATCATCCTCACAGTCCTCTGAAGGAAACTAATTAGTGCTCCATGGAGGAGGTGCTACCAGTGCCGAGCCTAACTTTTGTCTCAAACTCTTCCCACTGCCCCTGGCTGGGTAGCTCAGTTGGTTAGAGCATTGTACCAATTTTCCAAGGTTGTGGGTTTGATCTCCGATCAGGGCACATACAAGAATCAAGCAATGAATGCTTAAATAAGTAAAACAACAACCAATCTCTCCCCCCCCCCTCCTTTTTTCTTTCTTCTCTCTCTCTAAAATAAAGAATTAAAAAAACCTCTTTCTGCTACCTTACAAACTACTCAACTTGAATTCAGGATGGCAGATTACCCAGAGAAGACATTATTGCTTTACAATTTAATAGCAGCAGGAATAAACCAGTAACTGTGAGTTTAGGAATCCTCAAGCCCATCCTTTCAGGCATCCTGAGGATGCCCTCCACGCAGTAACCATCAGCCCAGTCTCACTGCCCTCCCACTGCCCACCACCACCACCGCCACCATCCTTGCCCTTGCCCCAGTCATTGACTTACTCAGCCATCCCACGCTGGGAGCACGCCGCACTCGAGGGTCATCGTCCAGGGTGCGGGTTGCTAGGCAGGGCACTGAGTTCTCAAGCGGGCTGCGGGCTTTAGTGTCAGAAGCAGAAGACAGGAGAAGGAGGAGGAGGACACATGAGCAGCCACAGCAAAGATGAGGATGGAGCATTAATTAAGAAGAAAAAAAAAATACTAAAGCAAATCACACAAGCGGGTTAACGGAGAATAATGACATATTACATTGACACACACCCCCTCCCATGACCCTGCATCCTTTGATGGAACGAATTCCAACAAGGAAGGAAAACATTACATTCAATCATTATAGTTCCCCCAGTACCAGTGGATGATCCGCCCTGCAGTGCTAATACACAAAGCATGGATTGGATCTGGAGGAGAGAGTCACATAATGAACACTAATACAAGATGTAAGATCAAGACTGTTAATAATTTTGCACCTAAGCACACAGACAGGGAAGGTCCACGCAGTTTTGTGAAGCATGGGAGCAGGGTGTTGTATTAGTAAGCAGCCTTATTTCTGTTGTGCCCAACAGACCCTTCTATGGATCCTGTGCACCAATGCAGAAAACAACAGTTCATACTTCCACCTCCGGAATATTTTCCCTGGTGAATATAGAACTGGTTTGCAATTTCTTCTGCCTAGTGTTTTTCAGCCCTTCCAAAATATGAAACTAGAAGATAGCTAAATCAATACCTTAATACAAACCAAGTTGGGAATGCAAATTAGTACTCACTTTCTGGTGCCCATTAATATTTGTTTTACTATAATTTTACAATTTGGTGCACCATGCCAAATCTTAGACCGCATCCAAGACAGAAAAATGATGCAGGCTAAATATATAGTATGGTTCCTTAGGATAGTTTTCATCAACTTCTACCTGAAGATAGTTTCATTAGGGTTTCATGTTATCTATTCTGCTATTCTTATCAAACGCCTCCTTCCAAGGGCAGTAAGAAATAGGCAGCATCATTGACCATAATTCCCAACAAAGAAGTTGGGAATATCTAACCATCACATTTCATACAATTCAACATAAGAGAGTTTCCCCGCATAATAAGACAGACAGGCACTTAATGATCAAGGCAATAAACAAAGCATAGCCAACTAAAATAAAAGACTAGATCATCTATTCACACAAGCATATATACGACAGGGCAGACAAGTAGTCTTCTTAAGGCTATTGGTGACTTGGGAGGTCAAGTTTTAAATGGAATCATTTACGTAAGTTAATGTAATTTTATGGCCAAATTTGGGCATTCAGCACATTATAAAATCTAAAAACATTTTTGTCAATTTATCTGTCTATGTTTAAACGCTGTAAATAAAGCCAGCACTTGTGAGTGGGCCATCTGTGCCAGCACCTGTTTGAAGCAAGTCTGATGTCTTCTCTTTGCAATCTGAATTTTTAATTGTTTCCCATAACTGAACTTCTTTGCAAGTTTTTATTGCACTAAGAAACACGATAAAGGGAAATGAGCCAGTTGAGATTATTCCAAAATTGCTTTTGTCAAGAAGGAAGCATTCAGAAACCTATATTATCATACTGACCAAGTTTCACCTCCTATTTCTTTGGACAACTAAGTGACCTGCTTCAAGAGCCATTATCCTGCAGGCTTAGCTAAAAGCAACGAGAGAGGCTAGACAACTGGCAGCCATTGATGTAGACCCAAGTAACAACCTACTGAAATTCCAGGTCATTGAGAACTAACAGAGGTTGGTAATGCAAAGTAAACTCAAAAGAACTCTCTCATTTGTTAGCTTATAATCAGTAAGTAGTTTTCTGATGCAATGGCTTGCTCCGAAAGTAAGTAAAAGAGGTCAGCAGCCACTCCAAAATTCAGATGTTAATAAGGAACTTTTTTCAGTAGCATCTCTCTCCTCCACTGAATGTATCAATGTGTTATTGGTTGAGAACTAAAGCTGGAAAGTCTTTCTGCATAGACTATCTCCAATGACACTGAACCTCACCATCAAGAAAACAGTGGGATGGAGCCTGTCACACACCAGGAAAGAACCTGGCTCCAAAGACAGGCATGCAAATGAAACAGCCCATTGAGACTTGGCACCTGTGTTTCAGCAAAGCTGATTGGAGCCATCTGGCTACTTACCATCATGAAAACGGGGAGGGTCATAGCATCCATTATTTATATTGGCAAATTAAAACGTTTTAATTTGTTGGAACCTGTACATACCTCTGTGCAGAAGAAGGTACAAACTCTCTAACCCTTTCATGTTGCTTCTCTTCACAATTTTATTCCAAAGATAAAATTTTGAAAGTTGTTCCCAAAGATGGAGATGAACTTTCTATGACTAGACCATGGTATTAATATGTTATCAGACACTTTTTCCAAATCATGTTTTTATTGTACACTTAAGCTACAAAATAAACAACTTAGCTTTGCTTCTATCTTACATATTCTCTTTTAAATCACCTTTGCCTGACTTCATGCATGAACAAGGTAGAAACTGGCTTATATGATTGGGAATTGATAAGGAAATATGTACAGCTGTAAAGATTTTTGAATGATGGTTCCCAATAGGAGACTGTAGAAAAAGATGTTGTGAAGAGGACTTTTATCTTGATGATTCATGTTTCCCTGGAGAATCAACTTATCCAAAACCATCAATCCCAAACCTGTTCAAGTGAGGAAGGTATCTCTAATTGAATTATTCAAGTAGACCAAGAATCTGCTCCATGAAAATTATTTTTTAACAGTCTTATTAAGAAGAAAATAAATTTTACTTATGTTAAAGTTTTAGGACTCCTTCAGGATTGCAATGTTGTATGATCAAATGGTTATTGAGCAACTACTATGCATTTCATACTGTTATTTAGCCAAGAAAATTTAACCCAAGAGAATAGCAACATTTCACCTGTAATCACACAAGACAGGTTGTCTACAAATTTCCATTTGGAAAAGCCAATAAAGACCAATAAAGACATCCAATGGCCATGTTTAATATGTATTCCTGCCAGAGCCCTTCAACATCATGGGATCACACAAAGAGACCTCAACTTAGTGATGTGTGGGAAATAAATTACACCTGAGGAAGCTCGTGACCTGCTGTAGTTGCAGAAGCATATTGTTATTATCCAACTGGGTTCCTCCGTTTTGTATGTTTGAACATGTTATCTTACATTTCTGAGCTTCGGGTTTTTCATCTGCAAGTGGAGATAATGATATATACATTAGAACCATAGTAAAGAACAATGCCTGGTATACAATAGGTGCTCAATTAATGGGAGGTGTTGTTATTGCTACTAGTACTATTATCATTGGTGGAACGATGTCTTCTCTGTTCAGCATCCAAAAGGGTGTTGGAAACCCTAAAGATTGCAACCTGATTTAAATTTAAAAGGCGGTCCTTAAGAAATCAGGTTCACAAACCTGCCAAGATCTCCTTTTTACCCTTTGTATTTATAATGAAACAGGGACTGAGTAGAGTAAGGCATACTTAATCATCTTGGAAGACTTTTTATTTCTCCTTTTTTCTTTTGAGAAGACACTGGAAAGAGTCCACAGTGCTCACATCACGTGTCTTTATTTTGTCTTTTTTCCTTTTCTCGTGTTTGCCTATCTTACCTCCACTCCTCTCCACTTCCCTTTCACAGAGACCGGGACCTGATCCCAGATCTACTCTTACTCTCCCATTTGCTCCTAGAACAAGATAAGGCTTGGGAAAACAAGACTTCATATGGGCAGTTCTAGCAAGGACCTTAAGCTTTGAAAGATTTATTCAGGGCTAACAGCAGCAAGTCAGTAAAGGGCCGGTTACTTTACTTCATCACAGACTCTGGCTATGCAAAACAGACTGGCAATTAATAACACTTTAAAATATGTTCTCTCATGATAACATCCTGTTGCACATATATTACTTATTGAGAGCTAAAAACTGTCATTGCTCAGATATACCAATCAATTTTCAACTCTAAATTAAAAATATTATGAAGCTCATGAGTGATACCTCATTATGTATTATTTGGCATCATTAAAGTTGATAATGAAAGTAACACTGTTTAAAAAGTAAAACTCCAATAAAGTTTTCATATATGGAGGAGTGGGAGAAAAAACTGAGAGACACAGAAAATAATAGAATACAAAATAAAGGTGATGAATTGAAGCTCTGTCCTCAGTTTTAAATCTGAAAGCACTAAATTTGACCCTTAAAATATTTCTGGGTAATACCTGTTCCCTACAGTATACATCATGTTGTGCTAATGAAATGCTTTCACAAAGATAGCATATTCCTGGTTGTATACATGGAATAAGACATTACTATCCTTATTTTACACATATAAAAACTGAGGCTCAAGAAGGTTATTTAAATTGCTCAAGAGGTGGTGAACACATAACGCAATATACAGATGATGAATTATAGAATTGTATGCCTGAAACCTATATAATTTTATTAACCAATATCACCCTAATAATTCAATAAAGGTTTAAAATAAATTGCTCGAAATCACACTACTACAAAGGATAAGCCCAGGATTAGTGTAGCCTTTGGAAAAAATAATACCATGTCTTCAAGAAGATTATAAAGTAGGCCTTTAATATCAAAATCTAAATCCTCACTTTTGTGATTATCTCTTAACTTGTATTCCATAAGCGTCTATAGGTGCAAACCTTGCATATCAACTCTGGTCACCTAATTTAAAAATCAGATTTGTTAGTGACATCTCTGGGTTTGTAAAGAAAACTATGGTAAACTAAATTTGTAAATATTCCAGCTCATATGGAAGAAATGGGAATGGTTTTCGTTTTGGACTCATGGCAGCTAACTGGTTAAGTCTGATTCTTCACTGTCTTAAAGAGCAGAACAGACTACCACATAAAGGGAGGGAATGACCTGTGGAGGGAAATGTATTATTGTTTATTTAAAACATTATAAAGCTGGAAGATCAGTCACCTACCTGGGAAAAGGAAAGGAAGATAAGAATGGGGTCTGATAAATGAATTAGAAATATAATGAAAACAATAACGATAACTACTGTTATTAGGAAACACTTTCATTCAGGTACTTTTTTAGAAACTTTCCATGGATTGGCTATTAAGTCTAAGTCTGG